CCAGCTTGCTCCTCAGCAAGACTGAAGGCCTCGAGTGAACTTTTGCTGGTTAACACATGATAAGCAGCTTTGTCATAGGTTGCACCCTTAGGAAACGGGCGTTTGCAGCCACCACGGTGCACACAGAGCGGACAGTACTGCCAGCAGCGCACCCCGAGAAGACTGTGGCACATCAGACGCTTCTCCTCCATAGCTCCTGGATGTGCTTTAAGCGCCCGTCCAGGAGATAGGCGAACCTCAGGCTTACTGATTCCACACCCAGAGGCGAGCACCTGACATTTCGTTCTGTTCCCCCAAACAGTCGCAGCCAAGCATGTATAAGTTAAAACACATATTTTTATATATCACTACCCTTTTATTTCTCCTTTATATTATTTGGAAAATAACATCATGCATATATATTTTAAAATTATGTTTTATAGGTTATATAATGAACGAATTTCAAATCAGTAAAGTAAGAGATGATACTGTATTTGTTATCTGAGTTACATTAACCAATACATTCTAATTTTTTTCAAGTTATAGTAAATTGGATTTCTACGACTTTTAACCAAAAGTTCTGTCTAATAGAACCAAAGAGCATCAGATAAAGAAGTACCAGGAGAAAATACAGGAATAAATTTTTAAGATCTTGGAATAAGGACTTTAATTTAAAATATGGCATGAAATCTAAAAGACTGAAAGATCTGATATCCCCTAAAATTAAATACATCTATAAAAGTTAACAAGGACAAGACAAAGAACAGACTAGAAAGGAATTTATATTTACAATATATACAAAAGATTAATACCTTTACCATACTGGGATGACGCCTACAATTTTTAACTCTGTAATAGAAAAACTGTGCAAAAAAAATAACAATTCATAAAAGAATATAAAAACCCAATAATTACATGAAAATAAGCTTAATCAAGTAAAAAATCAGAGACAGAGACAAAAGTACTGTTTTTGTCTATCAGATTAGAAGAGCTAAAGACTGATAGGAACTTGATAAGAACATACAGTGCACATTCAAATACTATTGGCGAGAACAGAATTACAGCCTTTCGAAAGGCAATGTAACAATATCGATTTTTAAATGATTATACCTTTGTTCTAGCACTTTCTCTCTTAGAATTTCATCCTACAGAAACATCTCCATAGATATCCACCCTCAGTTGAGATAAAGGGAGTTGATAGTAGACCACGATTGATACCTATGACCATTTAAAAAACCCAGATACTTAAAAAGTCCAGAAAATTCTTTTGAAGGCAGAGAAGAACTGCTAAGGAAACGACAGATAGAGGGTTCAGACTCCACAGAGAGGGAATAACCTTGGAAGGAGGCGCGGGCTTTGGTAACTGCTTCTGTTGACACTGGTCAACAGCAGAAGGCTCAGAATCCTGTGCAAAGCTTCAATGAGACACAGAATTCGCATCATTTGGCAAAGGCTCAGGAGGAATCAAGCGCAAAGCAATTTTCTCTTCAGAACAATGACCAAATCTGAGACTATACAGGGCAACAAATAAAAAAACTTAAGTAAAAATCTTTCAAAAACAGAGCAGTGTTGTAGCAATCTCAGACGGAATTAGAGCTGAGGACCCACTGGAGGAAGGATCCTAAAGGATATATCAAGCTCTAAGCTGAAACCTCTGGAGACCATGAATGAACCCAAAGTAGACCATCCTCATCAGGGCTGCAACCTAGTCTTAACCTAACGCAGTTCCTGAAAGAATTAAAGTGACCATCCATTGTTCTGTATGCCCAGGAAGAAGAGCCTGAACCCTCTCTAGAGAACAGTAACATTGTCTAGAGCCTCTAATATTCTTTATACAAACTATCTACATTCAACCAAAAATTACTAGACACACCAAATGACAGGACCAATCACCAAAAACCAAGAGGAAAAGATAGACAATAGTCTCAGATGATCCAGATATTGGAGTTACAAAAATGAGGCTTTAAATTAACTATGACTAATATGTTCAAGTAAAGATAGAGAATTTCACTCGAGAATTTTAGTCCATATGACAATCAAACTGAAATTTTACAAATGAAAAATATTGTATCTGAAATGTTGAATTTATTCAATAGGTTTAATAGCAGAAGACAAGATTATACTGAAAGTGGGTCGACAGAATATATCCAAACTGAAGTACAGAGAAAAGAGTGGAAAATACTGAAACACATTTCATAGGCATACAAAAATATACGAACAAGAAACACTGTCAATGCAGTATAGCTTATAATGATAAAAAAGAAAATCTACAAGGTCCCTAATATACATCATTAGGGAATTGTCTAAATTAATTATGGTACATTCGTAAAATGGAATTCTATTCTTGTGTTTAAATGTGACAGGTTGGGCAGCTCCATGAGTAATGACATGGAAAGATAGACAAGATACATTGTTAACATGAAGAAAATCAGATACTGCCCCTGCCCTCATGGAACTATGAGAAAAATCACAACAGGTATAAACAGATCCATAAATTAGATTTTTTATTTTCCATATAAACATAGCAAAAACATTTTTAACATATTTTTACATGTCTCTAATTGTTGGCTATTTTCTTCCTAAGTGTGCACCTAGAATGAAAATGTCAAGGTAGTGGTTTTGAAGGCAGGTGTATACATAATAGGACATTTAAAAACAAAATCAATAGTCATACATTTAATTCAAAAGCTTGCCACATCTCTTATGTCAAAGTCAGAGACCAAGAAGATGATATATCACTGAGGATTTGCAGAGCTGGAGAACCCAGAACCTCAAAACCTCTCCATGATAGTCAACGTCCTAAAGAAATTAACGGTAACTCTTACGCTCATACTCTACTCCTCCACTGTTACTTGGGCAATTATTGGAATCCAATTTAATATGGCCTGGTGACCCAAAAAAATGTAAAATTCAGAGCAGCAAAAGCTACATTCGGGAGGAAATGCATAAATTCACTAACATATTTCTAATTGTGGACAACGTTTCTTTCACTCAGTCAGCAAATACTTCAGGGCGTACTATATGCCAAGCATGTTAGACCCTGGAGGAACAATGGTCCCTGCCTTCCTGGAACTTACAGTCTAGTGTGAAGAGAGAGAGACATTAAATGATCACACGAAAAATAAAACTGCTTCTGTGACTAGTGCTAAAAAGAAGTAGACAGAGTTCTGTGAGGATACACATGGGGACCAAGTAAGAGCGTCAGGAAAGGCTTCTCAGAGGAGGTGACATCCAAGGAACTGATGTCCAAGGGACAGGTCTGAGTTAACCTATAGAAGGGGGGAAGGTCAAGGCTGGAGGGAGATCACTGCAGCAATCCAGACAGATAAAACCAAACTGTGCAAAGGCCTGAAGCGTAAGGGAACAGAGCAACGTGGGAGACTAAAAGGCAGCAGGGCTAGAATGGCGAGAGCGAGGGAAGAAGAGCGGGGAGAGGGGTGGGAGAAGCTGGGAGGAGCAGGTAGGTCCCTACTTTAGGGACCTAAAGGCACTCTGATCTTAAATAAAAATTTTTTACTTTGTTTTTAAAATTCAATAATTTTGCTTCATTTTTAATTTACTTCTATGGTTGCTTTCTACTAATGGCAAATGTTGTTCCATCGACATAAACTGTAAGAATTAAAAGATGAATTCCGCTTCAAATAACAGGCATCTGACTAAAAATGACTTAAACTGCAAGGACATTTATTTACCTTAATTAACAAACAGTCTGGAGGCAAACAGTCCCAAGTTTGGTATAGCAACTCAATGAAAGATGACTCTTTCCATCTTTCCTCTCTGCCATCCTCAGCATATCAGCCATGTTTCCCATACATGGTTGCAAGATGGCTGCGGCGGCTCCAAGAATCACATCCTTAGACAGGAAGTAAAGAGCTAGGACTGTCCTCAAGGGAAGAAAAGAGAAGAAAAATTTTCTCAGAAGTCCTTCCAGCTGACCCTTTAGGTCCCATTGGTAAGAAACGGGTTATACGCCTTTGTCCTACCTGTCAAAGAGCCTTGAAAAGCAATATCTGGCATATTCTGATCCTATAGCAGAGGGAGGTCTCTACTTGACAAGAAAGATGAGTGGGGAAAAAAAAAAAAACCAGCTAATGAGTATATAATAATGTTTATACAGGTAATATGAAGCTTCTTACCCACAGTATATCTCAGGTTAAAAAAAAAAAAAAAGTAGGTCTAAAGAAAACATCAAATAATGTTGAGAGGGGAAAAAAAAAATCATCAAGACAGTACTTACTGTCTAAAATGTAGAAAACACTGATTTAGAGCCCAAATCATGAGTTACTAACACCCATCCAAAAAAAGGTGGTGGGATAAAGGCCCATAGTTGATATATTTTACAAGTAATAAGATCAAAATCTTCAGAAGATTGAGAAAACATTGTTTAATGTAAAATAAACATTAATTCTACACTATAATTAATCTGAAATAACCCACCACTTATTCTATTTGCTGAAATAGCTAATAAAATAGATAATTAGCAGACACTGGCTGGCTGACCCCAAATCCATTCCCAACACCCTTCTCCCTTGCCACTTCCTACTGCAGAGAACAGAAGAGCTAAACCCACGCTCTTTCCAGCTTCCATTACGGCTGGGGTTGGGGAGCGTGTGACCAAGTGCCTGGTGAGTAGAATTTTCTTGGCAGGGCGTACAGAAGTGGGAGTGGAGTAATGGAAAAGATTTTCCTTTCTTTAAAAAGAAAAATAGGACAAATAAACGGACACTACCCTTTTCTTTCTTCCTGCCTGAGGCCCTAAGGCAGTAAGCAGGAGGGAAAGACCAAGAGAACCTCAGAGCTCCAACCCTAATAGGGTTGAGACACTGAACTCACCTGCTGCACCTACCTAGAGACCTGCTAAGTGTAAGAAAAAAGAATCTTGTTTAAGCCACCATTAAATCGGGTTATATGTTACTTGCATGTTACTAAGGTAATATGTTTATCTGTAAAAAACGTATGAGAAAAGGACACTTATCTTTCTCCCACTCTGCTAGTCAAAGGGACCATGTAGTAATGGAGGACACTACAACTTCCTAGGAATTAAAAAGGTGAAGCAACCGAGTACTGATTCAAACTAACGTGTTCCCATGGATATATTATTAGTCCGACAAGGAATTTTTGAGCAAAAGATTTTAAAATTTGATCCCTACTTTAACTGTATATGGCCCAGCTCAAGGATTCCATGAAAAGAGTGTAGAGAGCCTACTGCCTAAAAAATTCTAGGCATGAAGTTAGTCCCCTACTCCTCTTAGATTGCAGACAGGACAGAAGGCTGCCTGAGGGCAGTCATATTGTGTTTTTAAGCATTCGTACAGTCGAAAGAACAAAGTAGGGTAATTCTCCCCATTATTTGGCAACAAAAAAATCCTGACTGGAAACAAGGCTGCAAAGGTTGGGAGGATTAAAAAACATAGAGGGCTTTGTATTTGAAGTTACAGACCCTGTGACAATGGATTTTAAGTAGGAAAGTGATGATGCAGATTTGAAAATTTAGGGAGATAATCCTGCAAGGGTAATATGGGAGTAAATTTAAGAATGCTAAAGCTCTGAAGGAGAAGGAAGAGTAAGGAGTCTAATGCAAGAGTGCAGGCAAGCAAGGGAAGAGGAGGATGTGAACTAGGGGGAAACAGCTGGGCAAAACAGAAGTTGAGAAACGAAATAATAATCAGAAAGACTTAATGACATCCTAAGTGTGCATCTACGGGAGGATTGAGTGAGACGAAGAAACGATTCCAGGTTAATGCCCAGGCTTCTAAACTGGACAGAGAGTGGCGCCACCAATTAAAATCAGAAAGAAAGAAAAAAGATCAGAGATTTGGGTGAGTTTAGTTTCCATCTTGGTAAGTTTGGAGTATCTATGGAGCATCCAGATGGAAATGTCTAATAAGAGGTTATATATTCAAGTCTTACATTAGGGGAAAAGGTTAAAATAGAAAAATAGATCTGGGAGTCTTTAGTACACAGGTAATTATAACTGTGAGAGAACTTGAGAACGGCCAGAGAGCTTAAAGAGTAGTGGTTCTCAAGCTGGGACAATATCTGCTCCCAGGGGACATCTGACAATGTCTAGAGACATTTCTGGTTGTCTTCACTGGGGGTGGGGTGAGGAAGTAGGGAGAGGCCGGGGCTGCTGCTAAACATTTAGAGACAGCCCCGCACGACAACAAAGTACCCAAAATGTCACCAGTCCTAATGTTAAGAAACCCTGCTGCAGAGTACGAAGAAAAGCAGGCGAAGGAAATGCCTTGGGAAAACAAATGTTTACGAAGTATTCACAAGAGGAAATGTCAGAGAAGAGGTAAATCAAGAAAACGTAATGTCACGGAAGTCAGAAGTACAGGATTTCAAGAGAGAAGAAAAAGACCAAAAATGCTGAATTCATGAATTGGACCCACATGATAAAGATGATTAAGGATCTACTGGGTCACCGTGGATTTTAGTGAAAGGAAGGCCAGACGACAGTGGTACAGGAATGAGAGATGAGAAAGTACAAAAAGTAAACGCAGACTCCTCTTAAGAAATTGTATTGAAAATGGATGGTTCTTAACCTTGGCTACAATCAGAATAATCTCAGGGGCTTTAAAAATTACCAATGCTGGGACCTCACGATTAAACCAGAATGGGGG